TGTTGACCTCTTACTGTGCTCACTTCATAAATTAGACTTTATCATAGGCATATAGGTAGGGAAAGAAACACAGACTCCATACAGGGTTCAGTGACATCAAGGCATCCCTAGGCCCTGGGAATGTGTCCTCTTAGTTTAAGGGCAATGGCTATTCTGTCTTTTAATGAACCAGAGTTCATTAATCTAGAGTTAAGCTCACCTATTCAACTACCTCAATAGTAATTTCTCATTTCCAATATTCAGAAATAGTTCTCTTTTTTTGTGCAGGGTCTCACTACACAGCTCAGACTCGTAGTGGTCCTCTTGTTTTCTGCCTCCCTAGTGCTGGGATTACAGGCATGTGCAAGAAATAGTTGTTTTATAACCACATGTTCTTATTTAATTTCTGCCTCTGTGTGTGTGTGTGTGTGTGTGTGTGTGTGTGTGTGTGTGTTGTCCGATAGTGAATCCAGTGCCTCCAACAAGCAAGGAAATCACTATCATGGAGCTACCTCCAGACCTTTCTAATTGATTTAGCGGCAGGGTCTTGCTCTACAGCCCACGCTTGCCTTGAGCTTGTGGTCCTACTTTAGCCCACAACAGCAGCTAGGATTACAAGAGTGCACTGTGTGCCCAGCTTCTTTGGTTTTTTCAATTTTATTCCTTTAGTTTTCTCCTCAAAGCAGCTACACAGAGTAGATAGTAAAGATATTTGTAGTCTTATTATTTTAATTTTAACTAGAGTGAACTTTTCTTTCAACTGTCATTTTGTTGGGTCATATTAAAATGTTAACTTTTTCATATGTTTTGAAAATTTGCTTTGCAGACTTATTTTCTTCTCCATATCCTTTCCCCCCCCCCTTCCTTTCATCACTTAATTGTGTATCACAGAGAGGATTAAATATCAGTACTTAAGAGATCTGCTTCATTCTTTTAATAGCTAAATAATTTTCCATTGTGTGTATGTAGCATAATTTATTTAACCAAACAAGCTGTGTTCTCCCTAATAATTTTTTAAATGTATTATTAGAGGCCCTACAGGTCTCACTACAGAGTTTAGACTCATAGTGATTCTCCTGTTTTCAGCCTCCTAAGCACTGGGATTAAACCACCATGCCCAGTCTCAGTAGCTGTCTCAGTGCACCCTGGGGGTGGGGCTAGCACGGCACTCTGCCCCTAATAATTAGCAAAGGTTATTGCCAATCTTTCACTGCACAAACAATGAAGTATTTAATATCCTTGTACATATATTATTTTGCACATATAAATATACGATGAATTCTTAGGAGTGAAATTATTGGTCAAATAAAATATGTACTTAAATTTTGTTTTGTTTTGTTTTGAATTTTATGTATTTGGTACAGGTTCCCGCTACACAGCTCAGATTCGTAGTGATCCTTCTGTTTCAGCCTCCCCAGTGCTGGGATTACAGGTATGCACCACAACGGCCTGGTCTGTGGCCAGCGTGGCACACCCAAGGCAGGTCTGGTACAGCATGTGGTACTGGGGATTGAACTCAGGTCCCTGCGCTTGCCAGGCAGGTGCTTAGACTACTGATCTATCTCTCCAGCCCTGTACTTAAAAATTTTGTCAACCTTTCCCCCTTTGAATTGTAGCCAACACACGTTCTTTATCAGTTATACATTCTCATAAAAAGTATTACTATTTCATTTATCTTTGGCAGTAGTTTGGTTTTTAAAGGTTACTTATTATAATTTTAATTTACATTTCTTTTCCTGTGGGTGAAGTATCTCCTCATATGTCTAGGAAACTGTGTGTCTGGGGGGAGGTGCTGGATACTGAACCAGGCCCTTGCTCACACTAAGCGCATCTGTACCGAGCTGTCCCTCTAGTCCTGCTGGTTTTCTTTCCAATTGTAGAATTAAACAGCATTTTATTCCATAAAACAGGATGGGATCCAATTACAGGTTTTAGTTTTGCTTCTATGCTTTCACATTGTTGCCTATTTTTCAACAGAACTGTTGGATTTCACCTGATCCATTTATCACCCTCCTAAAAACCCCAAGGAGATGAGCCCTTTGCGTGTGATACACGTTGCAAATACAACAACCCTGTCTCAGTGTCATCTGTCGTTTGTGGCCTTTTTCATCACGGCAATAAAATCAGATGCATGTCTATCAATCTTTCTCTGGTGGTCTATGTGTTTTCTATTTTGTTTTTGAGACAAAGTCTGGCACAAGGTCCAGGCCTGCCCTGAACTTGCTATCTGCAGTTCAGGCCTTTAACCTATGATCTTTCTGAGTCAGCTTCCAAAAGGCTGGGATCACAGGTGTGTACCCCAGTGTGCAGGAGGCTGTTGTATCAGCCCTTTCCTACTGATAGATTATTTTCAAAACTTTTTTCATTTAATTTTTTTTCTCATTCTCTCATGTTTAATTTTTTTTTTTACCTGTACATAGAGTTCTGAATTTGCAGCCTCTACTGCACTTATTTGTCAACAAGTTCAAATACATATATGTTCAATCATCACACAATCTCAGACAATGTCACATACACAGGGAGTCATTTTCTGCCACTGATCCCCAGCCTCACTAGTCTCCTAACAGGTTCATACACACTCATGTCTCGTGGTTTAACTCGTTCATTATCGCCGATGTTTTTCCTCATTAGTTTCTCCCATATGCATAGTCACATTAGCTAATAACATTCAGCCTACCATTTTTTCATATCCAGTCACTGATTTACATTCATATTCATCACTAACTGGGCTCTCACGAAGTTTTTCACACAGACAAAATCAGCATCCCCTTCCTTGACTCACTTAAGCCACTGTGGTTTACCCTGTGGTTCGTGATAACCTTTTATAGCCTCCCATGAATGCTTTCACATGCACACAGCACCATGCAGTATATCTAACTCTGCCCTCATCTGCTCCCACATTTCTTCTCAGCTTTCACTATCCCAAATCTTTGTTTTTTGTTTATTTATTTATTTATTTATTTTAATTTTATTTATTTATTTATTTGTGTGTGTGTGGCCAGCTCAGCCCACCAGGGGGCGGGCTGGCTGGCATGTGGTGCTGGGGGATTGAACCGTGGTCCCTGGGCTTTGCTAAGCTTGTTCTAAGTAGGTGCTTTAGACCACTGAGCCATCTCACCAGCCCCACTATCCCAAATCTTTGATTTATAGCCTTAAAAATTCTTTTAGTTTCACACATAGACATGCAACCAACTTCTCAGACACTGGCTCACTGATCCGTTCAGCCTTGCCACCTAGACCACCTCTGATGCATGCGGACATTAATTCCCAGTTGCTGCTAGACTGCACATCTCACACAATCCTCTGTCCATGCTCCCTATCAGTTATGGACACCACGTTCTCCTCCCATAGTCAGCTTGCTTACAGGCACACGCACACAACGACAAACTCCTAAGTGTGTCACACACTCTGATCACATACACACTTAGTGTGTCACTGGCTTGGTTTCATTTTCTGGTTTTTTACAAACATGATCTTTCTTTAGTTTTATGAAATGTCTCATAGACTCACACTCTCTTAAGACACTGCTCAGTTGTCAAGTTTCTTCCCCATGGCTACCAAATTCCTGGCCTTTCTGCTCTCCGTCTCTCACCAACATTGCTTCTTCTCTGTCCCTCAAGGATAATCCTATAACCTACTGCACCATTTCAGCCCTCAGTCTCACCAGAACCCGTGAAGACTTCAGGGGTTACTAGAGGCCAGCATGCCACTTGCCTCAGTGCGCGCGTGCACATGTACACGAGAGCCTCCCAGCCCCAGCTATCTGATTTATCATCTTTTCTAGTCATCAAGAAAGTTTTCAGACACATATTCTTGTATCTTGGATCTCAGCATCTCCTAGCTTTCTCATAGCCATTTCTTTCTTTTAAAGGAGGAAAGGTTTATTTAGCTCAGTTTGTATAGGTTTCAGGCCATAATCCACAGTTGTTTTCTCTCACACAGTCAACTCTTACAGACACTCCTATGACTTCAGCTATCACTTCAGCGTTGCATAGCTTCACACAGAAGCCATTTCTCTCTCTGCAAGTCGTGACCAGTCAGTCGCCTGCTTCCGCACAGTAAGGCCTCTCACCTGTACCTGGTCCCTGACAGCCTCTACCCATTTCCCAGCCACACAGTCTCTCACATTCAATTTTGCTTACGCACTCTGTCTCGCTTAGCATCAGCTCACAAACAATATCTTATGCAGATTGTCACAAGTTTTTACACAGACTTTTTTTTTGGTTGTGCTGAAGATGGAATCCAGGGCCTATGCATGTTAGGCAAGCACACAGAGCTACATCCCAACTCTCGTGCAGTTAATATTTTATCAAGTCTTAGTTGAGTTTGTGAAACAACCTCAATTTTTCATATGGACACACCGTCAAAAGCTTGTGTTCACAACTTCTGCTCTTCTCTCATACATGTAACACATAATCATAGTATTCCACATTTTCACACACACCTCGTCACCAACTGGCAGCCTCACCTACGGTTTCTGACACAGGCCACCACACTGTTTCTCTCACAATCATTCTCTGCTGCACACTTTCATTGCCATTCACACAAAGCTATGCCCATCACGCTCAGCTTCTCATGAAGACATCGGGGGGAAAAATGCCAGCAGCCTCCAGCAACACCTTTAAAATATATATATTTACAGGAACAAATCCCCATTCTCTGGGACTTTTAGGAAAAAAAAGGTCCATTTTGAGGAAGTAAAACAGTGGAGACAAGTTCAGCGTCATCTCCCAAATCACCAACCCCCAGGTCCCCAGGCCTGGGCCAATGCTGACAGGAGGTGAGCTCAGGAGTCTTTTGAACCCACCCTCTCCAGCCTGGAATTGAGATAAGGCAGGCTTTATGTCCCCCATTCCTCCCTCCCAACTCCAGGGACACTTAAAGTGTCGTTTATACCGCCCTCCACAGGAAATTGGGGGGCTGGGAAGGAGGGAGCTGAAAATACATGTTTTGTATCAAAAATAAACACTTGGGGGTGGCAGGAAAACTTCTCCCAAATTCCTTCCTTTCCACCCACCCCATCAGATATAGGAAGAGATGCCTCCCTCTCCCATATTGAAAAGCCCCATTTGAAAATAGATTATACTATCAAAATGGCAGGGGGTGGGAGACAAGGAGACCTGGAGTACTGGCTGGAGGGATCCCCCAGACGGGGACTACCTCCCAAGAAAACCCTCCATTGAGAGGTAACAGGCAGGACCCCAGGGAGTTTGGCAGACAAAGGAATGGCTTCTCAGGGGGGAGAAGAATAAGAGGCTTGTTTCTCCCTGGCCAAAATGTTAGTTGATAAAAGGACAAACTATCTGAGAGAGGTTGGAGAGGTGGTAATTCAAATTCCAAGGGTGTAATTCCTCCTTGTTGAGGATTCCCAAACTCTGAAGCCATACAGATTCTTCCTAGACCCTTAGGTATGGCCAGGAATAACAAAACAAACTAGCTCTTCTACCCTACCCCAAAATGTAGACAGGGCTCCCTCATCTCCCCAAGGGCAGGCCAAGAAATAAATAAAGAAATGTCTTTCTCAAGCCAGACCCTGATTGTCTTGCCTTGGGGAAAAAAGAGTGGGGAGATGGGGGGAGATGTCTTAACCACCCCTCTAAAAGGGTTGGGCCAGGCTCCTTCCAGTGACCTTCAAAAAATAAATAAATAAACCATCCCTACCATTGAAGTAGGAGATGTACAAGGGCGGCCACTGGGGGACTGACGAAGAAGAGAGAAATGGTATGTTTTCCAAGGACAAGTTAGTGTAAGAGATTCTTCTTCCCAGGAATCCCACCCCAGTACAACCAGAGCACAAGTCTGTTAGATAAACTATGTTTCTCCTTGAGATGGCTGGCTGGAGAGAAGTCCATGGGCATGGATGGAGTGACCCCAGAAGGGGCAGTGGTGGTGGTAGTCATGGCTTCTGGGGCCCTGGGGAGAGCACCACGGGGGTCGAGAGGCCATCCACGCTGATGGAAGGGATGTGCACATGGGCGCTGCCACTGGACGGAAACGAAGGAGAGTTTGGCCGGGCTACGCTGCACGATGGGTCTCAGCGTGCTCCAGAAGTGAATGCTGGGAGGCAGCTAGCTGGGCGTCAGCAGCACCGGGGTCAATGTGTGTGTAGGTAAACAGGGATGGTGTCAGTGCTGGCCCCAGTGTCTGCAGACCAGAGCCAGTTCCTGATCCTGGAGTCCGTTCAGGTCCTGGCCCACCCAGCAGGCTTGGGCTGAGTGGAAGCTCCAGGTCCCGGGGTTTCCGACCCTTCTGTGGCTGGTTGATCTCAGGGGTGGAGACCACACGGCCACCTACTTGTGCTGTAGTCTCCATAACTGGAGGCAGCCGGGCCGGCACACCCTCCGCAGGAGGGACTTCCGGTTCAGCCTTGGCAGCTTCTGGCACAAACCCCACTTCCCTAGCAGCTTCCAATTCTTCCTTGTGCCCCTCCACCTTCACTTCTGGGGGAAGTGGCCGGCCCAAACTTGACTCCACATTCAGCTCTTCTGATTTCAGGTTTGGAACCTCAGGTGGAGTCAGGATGACCTGCAGAGGCAGGCCCACCTCTTCTGCCTCTAGACAGGCCTCCAGGGGATTTGGACTGGTGCTCCTGCTCCCTGAAGGGGGAACTGCTGCTCCTTGCGGATGATATTCTTGTCATAGTAGTATCGCAAAGCCCGGCTCAGCTTGTCATAATTCATGTTGGTCTTGTTCTTGCGCAGTCCCCACAGCCGGGCCACCTCCTCTGCATCCACCAGTGTGAACTCACCACCATCCCTTGAGGTCCAGGAGATGATGTGGCCATTGCCTTGTTCTCTCAGCAGCTGCAGCAGAAACTGCGTGGTGCGGTGGAGGTATAGGCAGCTCCGGGGGGCCGAGGCTTCATACAGGCCCCCACTGCCCCCCAGGCCTGGGTTCCGAGGCGGTGGCGGCGGTGGCGGCAGTGCCGGCAGTGCCGGTGCTGTCGGTCTGCCTTCATTTAATTTTTAAATATTTTTTCACTTTATTTTTTTATAAGGAATGAAATAAGGCTTAGTATTATTAACAATTTGGTTTTCTGAACAATACTTATACATTGCTATATTTATTTTATTAATTAATTAATTTTTGCAGTACTGGTGATTGAACCCAGAGCCTTCACACTGAGATTCATCCCTCCCCATTACTCCCCCCCACCCCCATTTCTTGAGACAAGACCTCCCTAATTCGCTGAAGCTGGACTCCAACTTGCAATCTACCTGCCTCAGCCCCCAGAGTTCTTGGGTCACAGGCCTGTGCCAACGTACCTAGCTCATTACTACTTTTATTAATAACCAAGTCTCTGTGTGTCTTTGAGGAAATGTTTTATAGATGCTGTGAGAACACAGCCCTGACCCTAGTAGCTGCACATGAGCTTGCATGATCTGAGGCGGGTTGGGACCTCAGGCCTTCAGAACCAGGAAAAAATTAATTTTTATGTTTCAACTCATCCTGTTTGTGCTACTTTGTTCCTGCAACCCAAGGACAGCTAACCAGTCTCCTGTGGGATTAGTGTCTTGTTCAATACAATGCCTTGCCTAACACTAGTAGTTCCTTAGCTCCTGTTCCATGGGGTAGGTCCTCCCAACAAACCCAGTCTCTCACTCTCGCCAGAAGACATTTAACCTGTCAAAATGTAATTTCTGAAGTCCTCCACCACTCACCTCACCCACTAAAGCCTTCCTTCACTAACATTTGCACAATTGCACAAACTCAAGCAAACAGCTTCTGGACAAGTGGCACATGGTGGTCACAATAACAATTTTATGTATCACTCATTGCCACAAATCCAGGATGATGGAATCAAACAATTGAACTTTAAAAGAAAAGAAATAGCCCTAAAAGCAGACAAATCTGATTCAGTCAGGTCTTACCTTTTACCCTTCTGAACTTTTTTTGGAGAAGAAGTTGTCTAGTATGTGAACTATGGGTGTAGAACTATAAGATATGACTGGAAAATATGATGTATGAATTTTAAAATTTTTTTGAATTTTTAAAAATTAAATGACACATAAATGATACATTGCCATTGATCCTCCTCACAATACTCTCCTTTACTTCAAACACACTTATCCCATCACTTTTTTTTTTCTTTCTTTTCTTTTTTGTGGTACCAGGGATCAAACTCAGGACCTTGCACTTGCCAGGCATGTCCCATCACTCTTGACACTTTCTTTTCTTTTCTTTCCAGAGCTGCTTCAGAAAGTGGTAAGAATGATGGGATAAGTGTGTTCAAAGCAAGGGGAATTGTGTGGAGGAGATTAACAGTAGTGTTTTGTTGTTGTTGTTGTTTGTTTGGTTTTTTTTTACTATAGTGAATTTTTACTGTTGTGTGATCACCACTTATATGTCAGGGTGATCAAAGAGCCTTTCACACAAGATTCCAAGAATCAAAATGCACAAGCATTACTTGGGCAAGAGCAGTGGTACAAAGTATTTTACTTACTTTGATGAAAATAAATGATGCCTGATCTGTAGAGATAGTCTGTCTACACCCAAGATTTATTTAAAGCTATTTCTAACCCCATTCTGTTGCTCTGGATTTGGGCTCCAGGGCAAAGGTGAAAAAGAGTGACCTCAGGAATTATAATGGATAGTATATATTAAATTAGCTATTTAGATGGTGGAGAAGACCAAAAATTTACTAACACTAAAATTATCACTGCTCCACAAGAAATATAGATAAGAAGATAACAATCCACACACCAGGATAAATCACTTTTCTCAAATTCCTTAGAAGTCAGGTTTGGTGGTGCACTCCTATAATCCCAGCACTTGGGAGGCTGAGGCAGGAGGATCACTTCAAGTTCGAGGCTAGCCTGAGCTACAGTGAAATCAAGCCCAGCCTGGAGTACATAGTAAGAATTTGTCTCAAAAAAAAAAATTCTTTGAAAGGAGCAATTTCTCATAGCTTAAAAATGAGGGCTAAAGGGCTAGGGTGATGGCTCAGTAGAATAAGCGCTTCCCTGGCAAGTGCAAGGACCTGAGTTCAATCTCCAGTTCTGAAAAAAAAAAAAAAAGAGGGCTACTGAGGATGAAGCTAAGTAGCATAAGTGCCTGCTTGGCAAGTGCAAGGACCTGGGTTTGATCCTAAGATGTGGAGGAAAAGCTAATAATAATAATAATAATAATAATAATAATAATAATAGGGTTGTGATTTTGAGAGATGGACAGCCACTTGTCAGCATCAGTGAAATAATTTTTTTTAAAAGATTACAGTAAATTGGACTAATAAGACTTGGGGTCAAGATGAATATGTGTAGATGCTGTTACTGATTACTTGGGCAAGAGCAGTGGTACAAATTAGTTTACTTACTTTGATGAAAATAAATGGTGCCTGATCGGTAGAGATAGTCTGTCTACACCCAAGATTTATTTAAAGTTATCTCTAACCCCATTCTGTTGTCCTAGATTGGGCTCCAGGGTAATGTTATAAATGCAACTGAACAAGCTGGGGTGGGATGCAGAGGTAGCTGTAGAAACACACCAGGAAGTGCTATTTGATTTTTGCAAGAGATTCAATAACGTACCAAGATGGGGGCAGGATGTGGTTCCTGGAGGTAAGAGTGACTATGGGGTAAATGTGAAGGCCTGGGAAGGGGCACTCTGACCCAGACAGGGGATCCGTAAGGGCAGCAGATATTCACTTCCAGCACAGGGGCACCACACATGGTGGTGATTATTTAATATATGGAATATTTTCTGGACTATCTACAAATTACCTGGATTTTTGGGACAGAATAAAAAGACCTGATTTTTCAACCTGTTTTCCATCTTTAATAAGAAGCAGGTTTTTGCAGGGTAGGATCCTAGCATGGTCGTCTATGCCACCTCCCTCCCTCAAGGCTTGCCGCCTTCACATGGAAAGGATGCCCAGCTCTGAGCACTCTAGGGCCTCCCGGGCGGTGGCAGCAAGCTCCCCATTATCCTTCTGCAGTCTGAACACAAAACAGCCCAGTGTGTATGAGGAGGTCACCGTGCTCAGTAAGTGCAGTGTCAAGAGCAACAGATCCACCAAGACATGTGCAGGTGTGCTGAGCTGTGTACGCGGCCAGCAGCACCCCATGCGTGCCATTGCTCAGAGAGACAAGCATTAGTCCTCACTTTTTGAAAAAGCATCTCAGCAACCCTGTCCTGTGCTCTGCCTCTCTTATGCTCATGCATAAATCCCAGTTCAGTCTTAGATGAAATCTCTTGCCTCTTTGAGATTTCTGCCTCAAATTGGGCAAAGGATCCTCAGGCTGAGCAGGTAACACTGGGCTGACTGGTAACCTCACCACCACAGCTTGAAGCTAGTTTCCTTTGGGCCAGCTGTAGTTATCTACAGTTTATCTCCAGAGGAAGCAAAAGCGTCCCACCAGCTGGGCACACTCACCCATCTCCTGCTCACGGACTGGAACTCAAGTACAGCAAGTAGAAATTGGGGGCAGTATGCTAGTTGGTAGGATCAGTAGACCTTATTTCAGGCCAGTAGACTTTGCATAGCTCTGATTTGTTACATTTATGGGCAGGAGTCGTAAGAACTGCATAGAGGCCAACTTTGGGTAAACTGGATTATCATCTAACACCCGAGAAATTATTAACAGTGGAACTAAGAGATTTACAACATGCTAAACGCTTTGGACACACAGCTCAAGTTGAAATAATCCAGAACTACTTTCACTTATGTACTAAAATTTCACGGTGAAATATCCAATATTGTAAGGACAGTTGGGGCGGGATAGGAGGCACAGGGCACTACCTGGTAGGAAGAGGGAGGCAGACAACCGCACACTTGCGCAGGACATGGTGTGCTGGAGGAGGCGCCCTTGGTGGGCCCTTTGCATGTGCCCAGAGGTCCTGCGAGCCCGCGCCTCACCCCAGAAACAAAGGCTGAGATCTTGATTGTACCGATCAGTGACACGCTTATTTTTAGGAAATCAGCCAGCCCTCTACCCACGGGCGGGGAGAAGGCCTCACACTGAGAAGCTCATCTTCCGAGCTTCTCCCTGCCGGGCATTTCGTTGTTCAGCAGCGCCGCTTCTCCGTATTATTAATAAACCTCTGCTTCCTATGACTTTCCTTTTCTGGGTTCCCCTCCTGCCCTGGGGACGCCCTGACTTTCCCACTTGAGGAGGAGATCTTCAGCTTTGAGTCAGCTCCACCTCTCCTTCCTTTCCCAGCAAGGACCCCAGAAATGGGGGGTCATGCCCCGGGAGATGCCTCGGCCCGCGACCCCCACTGTGGGGTGAGATGAATATTCTGGTATTGCGCAGAGTGTAAAAACCCGACTCATTTCAAAAGGCCTTTTGTTCTTGGGCCCAGAGATTTTCTTCCGGAGGGTAATAGTATTGTATTCAGCGGCAGTGTGGGTGGCCAGCCGCAGGAGACAGTTTCAGGTAGGGCTTTATAGGTTTTCATGTAGGCCTTTCCTGCTGTGTACACTTGTTTATTGTTGGTGTGGCCTCCGAGCAGCCAGTATGGCCATCCAGGGTGTGAGGATGTTAGGCCTACTTGTCTGATGGCCGGCTTGTCCGGTCAGCCAGCTGGCTTCCTTTTGTGAAATGTAATCTTGTCCTTCTGGATGTCCTTGTCGGTGCATAGTGGCCATCCTATTAGGCTCCCATGTTGCTTCTAGGAGTTGAAATTTTTTTTTGTCTTTTCTTTTTGATTTATTTTCTTCCTGCTGTAAGAAGTCCTCTTTATATATTGCTCTCTATATGTGGACTGTGACAAAAATCATACTTTGAATCAGTGTAAATTTTGACAGTTCTTCCCTGAGCCCATCAACAGGTTCAGATGAGGACCCAGCATTCTGCCCTTTGTGCTGACCAGCCTTTGGGAAGGGCCCCGCTTCAGTGACTTCATCTGTGGCGGTGACAGCGTATCCTGCCAAGCCTTCTCTGTCCTGGGTGGAGCTGCTGTCCACTGTGAACAAGGCAGCATCAGCTAGGAGGTGTAGGCGCCTCAGTGAGACCAGGTCCGCCCAAGAGCAGTTCACCCACAACTTCTCCTCAGTCGTGATCTGGTGGACCCTTTTCTGTCAGCAGGAAGGTGGCTGGACTGAATGTCTGGACAGGCTCTAGGGTGACTCGGGGGCTCGCACAGAGCAGGCCTTGATACTGAGTTATCCCAGTATTTGAAAGCCATTTGCGTCCTTGGTTGTTCTTCAGAGTCACATCTGAGTGGGGACCTTTACTGAGTGGAGGTTTTGTCGCACTGTGAGCTTCCTTGATGAGGGTGACGGCTGCCGCCAGAGCACGAGGAAGGGAGGCGTCCGGCTGCTGTGGTGGCTTTTGCTGGGACAGATGAGTCGCTGGTCTCTGCCAGAGCCCCATGGCCTGAGTCCAGACACGCAAGACCACATGGTCCTTTTCATGTACAAAGAGCTTAAATTCTTGGCTTACATCTGGCAACTCCAGGGCGAAGGTACTGATGAGTAGTCGGTTTGTCTCTTGGAAGGCTAATTTTTGTTTTTCTCCCCATTCTAAGGGTTTGTTTTCCAGTTAGTGAGACAGAGTAAAGATATTTGGTGTTTTCTGTAAATTCCAGAATCCAAATTATGCAGAACTCAACCACCCCTAGAAACTCATGGCGCTGTCTCTTGTTGCATGGTCTGGACACGGAGCAGATGACTTGTTTTCTTTCAGGTCCTAGGGATCGCTGTCCCTTGGTGACAATGGACCCTAGCCATTAACCTATGCCTTTTGCCAGGATACCATGCAGGCTGCATCCATGCACAGCTGCAGGAGGGTCTGTGCTCTCCCCCAGTGGCCTTGCTTGGTCTTGTGGGCAGTCAGAGGTCACCGATGTACTGGAGCAATGTGTAGTTCAGTTTGCTTCCTGGAAGGGCAGCTAGGTCAGCAGCTAAGACTCCCCAAACAAGGTGGGAGAGCTCTTAAAGCCATAAGAGAGTCTTGTCCAGGTTAACTGTGTCTTTGGCCCTGTGTCTGGATCTTCCCATTTGAAAGGGAAGAGTGATTGGTGTCTGTCTTTGAGATCCAGGCAAGAGAACTGGGCTGCTTTCAGTAGGAGCAAGCTCTGCAGGGTGCAGGGATTGGGCTCTTTTTTTTTTTTTTTTTTTAATACCAGGAACCAAGCTCAGGACCATGCACTTACCAGGCAGATGCTGTGCCACTGAGCTATATCCCTGGCCCTTAGGGGTTGGGCACAAGTACACCCGGATGCAGAGGGACTGTAGCACTCCCTGTTCACAGCTCACAGGTATCCATTTCCTCTGGGCTTCCTGACACGTAACAGAAGTGTGCTCTGGGGGGACTGTCACTCTGAGGATTCTTTTCTCCCAAGCCAACTGATGTGTTCTTGGATCCCAATTCATGTCTTTCTGTGAGTGGCTTGCTTTAATCTGACTGGTGTTGCCCCTGGTTTGAGGTTTACTATGATGGGGACCCAGTTTTTGGCCAGTCAGATAGGGGATGCTCATCTTCCCAGTGTTCAAGTTCTTTGCAGTAGGCACATTGGCCAGGGTGCAAGTGGGTTAGTTGTGGGTTTTCTCCCTTGCGTGGCAGCCCTGCTTTCTGAGTCAAGTCAGGTTTTCCAAATGCAGCTGCAAGGAGAAATACTTTCTGTTTCCTTTTTCTTTCTGCCTTTCATTAAGTCTCCCAGTCTCAGTTGTTGAAGACTTTTGTGGCAATCTCAAGCAGTTGGGTGGCATTCATTCCAGCAAGTCCTCCTAGTGTCTGGAGTTTGCCCCAGATGTCAGAAGCAGACTGGCCCACAAAGACGGCATTGACAGTTGGTCGGTTCTGTGGGACCTCAGGGTTAACAGGTATGGAGGTTTGGAGCACCTTGCAGTGTTGCTTATAGAAATCCCTGGGCAAATCATCTGGTTTTTGAGTCACTAAGACTGGCTTGGACACATTGATAGGCTTTTTGGCACCAGCACAAACTCCCCAAAGGCTGAGGAGATAGCTTAGTAGAATAAGTGCTTGCCTGGCAAGCACAGGATCCTAAGTTCAATACCTGGTCACACACACAAAATAAAAAAACCTCCCCAAAGGATGGCTTTTTTGGTATCTTTCAATTGACTCTTGCCCCTCAATAGTGCTAAAATCCTATGTGGCCTAGGTGTCTGGAATCAACTTTATGGTCCAGTGGGGGCCACACCTTGGATGTATTTTCTGGGCTCAGCGACAATTCTGTATCTCTCCTTGGGGCTGAATAGAGTGAGGAGCAGTTGGTGACAATCATCCCAAATGGGCAGGTGAGTTTGTATGTTGGACTTTATGATGTTACAAGGGCTTGGGCTTCTCAGAATAGGGTGGAGTATGATCTTTCCAGTTCAGAAGATCGGTCATGGTGAAGGGCTGGTAGCAGAAGGTAGCCAGTCTGGGTGGCACAGTGCTGCCACCCAGGAGAGTAGGTGGAGGTTGGGCCTCACAGGTTGGCAGTTGGATGTCAGAAGGCTCAGCTGATCTGAAGCATCTGACTAGAGTTGCTTCCAAGAGAGGCAGCCTCAGTGTTAGTGGAGACGGGGGGAAAGTGAAGGCAGGTGCACATTGTCAGAGATGTGGACTGGCAGGGAATGGACCATCGGATAGTTTGGGAGCTGGCTGGTTGAAGACATCAGAATGGGGGGCTGTCTGGATAGCTGATGCTGGATGATTTCAGGGTGATGGAGTTTCAGTAAGGGCAGGGCCAGGAGGCGGTGGTAAAAGGTCCTCCTCTGGTGGGTCTTGATATATCGGTTTCTTTAGCGTCTTGGAGCACTGATTGGAATTCCTGCCCCCCAACACCTGATGTTGTCCTTGCCTATCAACGCAGAATGGAACCCAAAGTGGGAGGATCTGGGCAATTTCCAATCAGAGATCAATATAAGGAAACCCAGATGCCCAGGCTTGCCAGTGATAACATTCCAGGCTGTCTGGACTGTGGGGACATCTGGAGTCCCCTCTGATGGCCAGCCGGTATTGAATGCAGGCCACTCAATTTTGCAGAGGGTTTTGAGCTTTGAGATTACATTGTAATCTCCACTGAAGACTTTCTTAAAGTTTAGTAACATACAATAAGACAGTGGGATTACTCTGCTTGTTCCCAAGGTATATGTGGTATTCTTGAGTGGTGCCACAGCAGACAGAGGCTGGGTGCCTACAGAGGAGACACCCAGAATCATGCCCGGCCATGTCCCTTTGGGAATTTAGGCACATCTTGGCTAAGGTGCACCATACCCCCGGGACTGGTCAACCTCTCATTAAAGGCAGTGTGTCACAGAGATTCAGCGTAGGGCCCCAGAGACTGTGCTCCCGGATTTCCTTGCCATGGACCACATGGACCAGCCATCACTGGTCACAAACCAGTACAACTCTCTCACATATGCAGTTACCCAGGGGTTAAAACATTCCTTCCTTCTCAGAAAAGCCCTCAGTGAGCTCTCTGACGTGAGACCTGGGGAGGTACTCTAGCTTCCCTCCATGCACTGGGCCAGGCCTGACTGGGACTGGGTTAGGCTGCAGGGCCTTGCCTTATCCTGAGGTCCTAGAGGGGCTTTGTCCACCTTTTCTCCCGAGTTGGGAGCAGTAGGCACAGCGAGTCACCCTCACCCAGTGAAGGAGGAACTGCTAAACTGGGGCAGTGGTGCACTGTGTGTTCCCCAGAGAGGGCTCCTGGCAGCCATCTCTGGACTCTGAGCTGGTGGCTCCAAGGGCCAGCAAGTCAGTTTCCCGCTCAGGGAACCACATGTTGTAGGAACTACAGACGTCTGGTGGCTCAAGGAACTGAGCAGACATTAGAGGAGGTGGAGAAAACCAAGCTCTTGCATTAAGCTGGCTGCCCCAGAGGAGCTGCGCATTCTGTGCCAGGCCCCAAGGAGTGGAGCGGGGGTGGTTTACATTCTAATTTAAATTGGGTTGGGCTAGGGTGGAGTGAAGAGGAATTGTACAGGAGCAGAACTTCTGTAGGTGTTCTGTTTTCAGGTTAGGGAATTTTGAGTATAAGGCAGAAGTTAACTAGGTCAGGAAGAAGGGAATGAGAATACTTTGTGGTTATAAGACATTCTACAAGCATAGAGCCTTTCCTGCTGCACCTGAGGCAGGAGGCAGAAGCTGTAAAAAACTGGGGCCTTAAGGCTTTCGATTTCCTCTTTAGTACCAGGCACTAGTGTGGGGGGAAGACGAGACAGCACCTCTGCCCTGGTAGAGCTGACCTGCTAGTGGGGGGCACAGGTGGCTCCCCAGTAAAAATCACACCGGATACTTTCAGAGAGCACAGTGACAGGGGTCTGTGAGGGCAGTAAGCAGGAAGTTAGGAACTTAGATCTGCCCAAACTAGATTGCTTTGGTTTCTCTTTGTGACTTTTAACTGAAAACAGAAATGTACATATTGTAAGTCAAAATCAGGGAACAGAACTCAACAGTAGAGGGGTTTGCATCTTTAATCCACATTTAACATTACCAATTTCATTCTGACCTAAATGAACAATTTGGACAAATGGCCACCAGGTGGCACTAGTGTCCCTACTAATTTGTGCAGTTGAACTTAAACGTGCTTCTAATTCTTGGTGGGTGTTGGAACCAAATGATTTTCACAGTAACACTAAATAATATATTATGCCAGTGTAGCAAGTCTTTTAGCTGATACCCAGACCTAATGTTATCCTCCCCTCTCAAGCTTCCATGTTGATCTCAGTGCCTTTGGATTCCCAAGTCACAAATCTTTTTTTTTTCTTATTAGCGGAACTGGGGACTGAACTCAGACCCTTGCGCTTGCAGGCAAGCGCTTATTCTACTGAGACATCTCCCCGGCCCCACCAAGTCACAAATCTTAACAGGCATCGCCTTACAAGTCAGTTGATGTCTTGTCTCCAAGCTTAGAGCTCAAGGTGCTTCCTGCACTGTGTGCTCAATTCCAGAGCCTTGATTCTACTTGAAAAGTTCTTGCTGATGCATTTTAATCATCAGGAAAAATACATAGGCCAGGGAGATGGTTCAGTGGAATAAGTGCTTCCCTAGCAAGCGCAAAGGCCTGAGTTCAATCCCCAGTTCTGCCAAAAAAAAAAGGAAAAATACATATTCCTCTTCCAGTTGTTTTTTGGAGGGTGATAGTGGATAGGTCATGCCAGGGATACAACCCAGGGCCTCTCATCTGCAAACGGGCACGCTACCCTGGAGCTACTCATTCTCAGTCCTCCACTCATTCTTTTATCAAGTTGGAACTGAATGATGCAGATATGAACCAATATTTACAGGCTGCAAACCCAAGTATAAAAGGATTGAATTTCAAGGGGACAGTAGAAGTCATTTAGTCAGTGTTGTCTGTGATGAACACGGAAAGCTTTCTGATGGACCAAATTAAAGATGACAGAATAAATTACATCTGGATG